AACAAAATTGCTAATTAGTCTTACTGACTAGATTGTAATGTAATAAAAACAATGTGTTTGACAAATAAAAAAAAAAAAAAAAAAAAAAGGCTTGGACGAATTTGGGACGACTAGTAAATCAGTCATCTACAAAATGTCCTTAATTCATTTCCGAAGTCAAACCCTGTTAGCCAAAAAGTGCCTACGGGGTGACAAGATACGAGCCCCGCGGCACTCTACTACATAACTTTAACCGAATTTTCGGGACGAATGTAGTTCATCCAAGGATGAACCATAGTTCATCTGTGACGTCATGAGTTTTAACGCTGTCTATAAGCTGCATCTATGCTTCCGTCGAACTACGTTCAATATGACGTCATGGGTTTCTCGCGAAAGCAATTGTGTTCATGAAATCATGGAAGTAGTTTGTCGCGAAAATTCGGTTTTTGTCAATTGGAGCTTTTTTTATTTCTGAATTTTCTTTTTCATTTCTTCTATATTTTCGGTTATTTTTTTTATTTTCTCTCTTTTTTTCTACACTTCATTTAACTTTTAAAGTGAAGTAGGTATGTGCAATACCCGTACTGCCGTCCTCAATTAAAAACCGGCATCTACAAAAATCTGAGAAATTGAGATTTTTTCATATTTGAGATAGCTACAGGTTTTGTTATCTACCTACAATTGCTAAATGCGGTAACTACTCATTTACTAGCAAAACACAATATAAATATTTTGCCGTATCTGACAAATGACATGATTTCTCAGTTAAAACGCGGTATCTGTAACATCCTTAGCTAAATCGCGGTATGTGCACGTGCGCGTCATGTATTTAGCGCGTTTTGACTGAGCAAGCTGCATTTGACAGTGGGGACGAGAAAGATATGATCTAATCAAGTGTTTTATAAAATTATGTACTTATATTATGTTGAATTTGTACAATAAACTGACCAATTTGTTTTTTTTTATGTTGAAGTTCACTATATATTCATTATCTCAATTATTAATGCAGGTACGGCGTTTTTCACTTAAAAATTTATATGTGCTCTGCACAATTAAAAAGCCGTATGTGATTTTTTAGCCACTTGATAAGTGGAAACATGATTTTTTCACTGAACATTTAATTTAAGTAACTATATTTCCAACTACCACTGTACATTTTTCGTGATAAGAAATCAATTCAAACCCAAAATCCAGAGAAAAAAAACTTTAGGCGCCGTTTTCTCATTTTCATGTCTGCTGCAGATACCGCGTTTTAATTGAGGGCGGCAGCGTACTTACTAACTGAGTATTAAATTAGTTTATCACCAAATTTATGGGCAGGACCTGTGAAGGCTGCTCAAGCTAGATTTAATCAATTATTAATTACTAGATAACACCATTCGAAAAATTTACAAGTTAAGAGCGATTATTGTGTCAGGGGGAAGTTTGCTCAGTCAGCAATAGTGTATTTTAAGAAACAGTTGCAAGTTACAACATAAGAAGCGTCAATTGAAAACTATTGTTTATGTAAATAATTTTCACAGCGTAAATATATATCCACTAATCGAAGAAGCACATCAGATAATAAATAAACGAACACCACGAGTCAGAGAACGAAGAACTTGTGAATAATATCAGTACCTAATAGAGCAAAGCGAGAATCTTATGGTGATGCTTATGTGCAGTGGTGCGATAATTTTGTCCAGGAGTATATTATTTTGATTGTTTGTTTTTTAGTGGCGTATAAGAAATTTTAAATTAACTGCTGTGAGGCCGTGAATGCAACCCAATAGTGCAACTATTTAGTAGTATTATTTAAATTTAGATATTAAATACATAGAAATAAGGGTTGCCATTTGAAATTTTAGGTGTAGGTACCCTGGGGGTCAGGGGGATGAAAGTAACACGTCAACAAATGCTTCAAAAATTGTCCCCCATGAGATGTATCGTCAAATTTTCATACCATCATTGGTAGAGGCAATATTCAATGCGTTTTCAAATTGTCACCCTGTCTGTACAATGGAAACAACGTAGGTACCTATCAGAAACGTGTAAACGATCTTGTGTTTCCAATGATTGTATCAACTGATCAAGTTGAAAGAATTCATCAAAATTCGTTCACTATAGAGCTTTAGGAAATGCTTAAATCTTAACTGATACGAGTGATACGATGCGTTGACAAATTGAAGTTTTTTTTTCATCAACCCTATATCACTTACAGAGGCTATGAATCCGTTCAGACGGGCGGTGAACGCAGACACTGTTTTTTTCTGTTTTTTATACTGAACCAGTGGAATGAAAATAATTTTCAAGGTCTCTTTCTTGCCAAGAAAGTCTACTCTGGTTATGCCGCAATTGAAAATACTTACCAGTACCTACAGTTGGGGAGACACTTTAGATGTCGTGTAGTTTTTTGTTACACTCCAAATAATCAATAATCCATGGAAAGGTTTCCGAAATATTCGTCTCGACACCTCAGTAATATGCTTCATGCTTCCATACATTTAATTCATTAGAGGACTCAGTCCCATGTGCAAATCAGTAGTATTATTTTTCTGTTTAAGATATGCTGTTGCCTACTAACGATGTTAACTTACTTATCGGTATTTAGTTTGATTTTTGTAGGAACATCAAAATCTTCAATTTCATAAATGCGTCACTTTTACCTTCTTTAGGTTAGAGTTCTTAATTCATTTTCTCCTGAAAATCGTTAAGAGGGGACAAACTTTGGTTTTAGGGCCCATTTTCCAACTAACAGATTATCATCTGATCCAACCTCGAATCTCGGCTTCAAACTATTTCGTTAGTACATAGAGAGTTTTTGCGAAATGATGGAATATGTATGTGAAGCAATCCTAGACCAAGTTATCGACTTGAATAATAATAACTGTTACGTATAGGTCGCCAAATCAACAGCCGCCGATATTTACACCACCTACTAGTCGGCATTTTATGAAGGGTTTGCGAGTTCGTATAAAAATACCTATTCAGTTAGGGAAAAACAGGAAAAAAAAGAAACAGGAAAGACTTGAAAGAAGCTGGAGAATTGTTAACGAAGAAATGAAAAAGAAAACTGGAAGCGGATGTCTGATGAAATAACCGAAACAGCAGGAGGTCGTAGGATGATAATATAATAAAATACAAAGCAAAAATAAATTAACGTCAGAAATTTGGAAAACAAATCCCTGCTTATTTGTTCAATCCAACTCAAAGTTCATTAACAATCTACCTTACCATTGCAAAATATTTCAATAATGCAACTGTTTAGCATTGTTTATTTTATTTAACACTCTGCAGAGACATTATACCTATAGAATATTCAACATTGAACTCATTTTTTCGGATGATTATTGAATGAAGACAAAGTAATATCAGACTGTAAATTTATTGGTAGATGAAAGCATGAATTCGGTTCACAAGCTTGCGTCATTGGCGCGTGTGTATTAGTTATAATCAGTACAGCAGCTGTTGGGGTTGAATAACGAACGCACTGTGTAAAAATAGGTATCAGATGGAATTGTACGCTCACTGCAACTGTGCAGCACCACGAATTCAGAAATGATTCAACCAATAGACATAAAAGATATGGGAAGAATTCAGGAAACTGGTATTGAGTGCCATAATTGTACAATTCTTCGAAGCCTCTTCCAATTCAATTACCATAACACCAAACTAATTAGCGCGATTCAAGTACGAAACCTGAACCTATAATGACGCCATGGATAGCAGCAGTGAATATCAAATGGGAAAGAGCAGCTGCAGAGAAAGACAAATCTAGAGATTCTCCTAGAACCACATTCGCCACTACTGGACAGTCCTGTTTCATATACGATTTAGATATGAATGGCTGAGGATATTAAGACACATGCTATTGTTCATCATTGCATGGATGTAAGTACATATGAACCTAGTGAAACATGTGCTGTGCTACCAAATCAATATCTAGTTATCACAGTCGATCAACCTACTGTTTATACGATGATGAGTGGAAATTTTCAAAAAAACATGGAGATTGTGAGTATGGTAAGAGGCCTGCACGAATATGATTGGTTACATAGAAGGATTGAGATGAGCTATTTAGTCATGTCAATCGAATATGCTATGTCTGCTAGGTGGCAATTGGTATACTTATTTCAAGAAGCAATGTTATTTTAATGCAAAATAAAATTGTAGGATGACTTATAAATAATGGAAAGTCAAGTGGCCCAACAATTTGCTTACTGAAATGTTGAGTGATGAAAATATTTTTCTAAATTGGTTGCATTTATCAGAGAGGGAAATTTTACTATGATCTTAATGCTCGCAGTCCGGAGAGGAATATACTTGTGGTTTTTCTGTTGTGACCGTGAGTATTCAGTATATTATGCCCGATATGATTGATTACCAGTTTTCTGTAATAGCACATATGAAATAAAGAAGTGGCATTCTTCTACCTATCGTGCACTTGTCCAATGAGTTTGCAATCCAAAAATGGATGATTGCGCGATGCTGCATCTTCATTCATTCATCAACATTTAGAAAATGGTAAATTCAGCTAATGTTCTAAACCTACCTGATGCAGAAGCATTGGCTATCAACGAGGACCGCTTGGATCAAAATTCAGTTGTCGTACATATTTTACAGCGTACTAATAAGCATAGAATGGCAGAATAACTTATCTCATTGGAATAATCTATTCTATTTAGAAATCACGCTTCAAGGAAAAACTGAACTACTGGATCTATCTGCCTAAAAACAGTGTGATTCGTGCAAAGTTTTTTCCTAAGATGACACTGGAATTGATTTGATTGGAGGTGGATAAAACAGGAAAATCCGTGGACAAAGCCAAATTGTTTCAAACATTTAAGGATTGCAGAAGAAAAAAGCAAACAATTTCTCTAGAAACATGCATTACACAATGCTGACCCAAAGTAACTAACTTCTGTCAGCTATTATAGTCAGCAATATTTTTGTGTGAAGGATTTTTTTTTGATACAATAATTACAATATATGCCAAAGAAGTTGATAAATTATTATCCGAAATATAACAAATTTAAACTTACCATCGCAAAGCTTCTTGATACATGGCACAAAATAATCATCACAAACTACCGCCAAAAATATAAATAAGTAGCAAGCTATTATCACATGTATTATCACCCATCCCTGTTGTCGTTGCTCTCGCGTGAAACCATCGGGAGGAAATTCTTCAATACCCGGTTCCGTACAGTTTTTAAAAGCGTTCGGAGGAATTCGAGTTGTTGCATTTTCAGATTTTGGTAGTGAAGCTGTGGTAGTGATGGTTTCATTAAGGACCGCCAAGTTGGGTTCGTTGGCGTTCGGTTCTACAGCAAGCAGGTGACGAGCGTGAAATCCATATTCGCCATCTGCAATTGAAAAAGTAAATAAATAAGCGAGCTCTTACTGTCATCTTTACGCAAAAGGTTCGTGACCTTTGCCCAGCCGAAACTTGGGTAAACCTTATTGTTAGTTTAATTCGTAATTTTGCAGGCTTACAATAATATATTACATACAATCTGATAAATATTTGCAAGAATGATCAAATATACAAAAAAAGGAGATTTAGATGTTTACACTATATTTATATTTACAATTAGTGCACCAGTTATATTAACCAATTGCCATGCTGATTTATAATCAATTATCTATTTTATATCCTACTGAACTATTAAAACCATATAATACCTTGGTTACGATAATCATAAACAGGGTCTTAACTCCCAAGGGAGTTAAGGATTTTCATAACTCCCAAGGGAGTTAAGGAAGGGAGTTAAGGATATCATAACTCCCAAGGGAGTTAAGGATTTCCATAACTCCCGCTTTTACCTTGAATAGGTAACACTTTGACAAAAAATAGAAATTTTGATTTATGGCTTATTCCTTTATAAAAATAGACAGAATACAGTAAATTCAGTAGGATATAAAATTATCTATGTACCACGGGAATTATCAGGAGTTAATACCCACGGGCAATTGGTGTCCCTCGGGCCGGAGGCCCTCGGGACACAAACGTTGCCCTGGGGTATTACCACCTGCATAATTCCCTTGATACATAAATAACTATTTTATATGCTTTAATGTGCTTACCCCTTTCCTCTAGGACTTTTTAAATACATTGTTGTAAAGTAAACATCAAATTGCTATGTCGGCATTAAATGTTTATTTAAGCCGATGCCGTCCCATAAGGAACGTTCATTTGTTTTCTGGCTTTAGCCTGTAGCAATTTGATCCGAATATTTTCTTTTGTCACCTCTGTATTTTAATCAATAAAATAAATGTTTTTTAAAATACAAGTTTCTGAATCGAAAATATAATTGGCGCAGTCGTTCGGATGCTCAGAGTGCTTAAGTTTCGGGAGTTGATACAGTCGTAATCCGTCGCGAAAATTTCAAAAGGCTGAAGGAAGTTCGAAAAAGTGAATTCTTCGGAAAAGTGAAATTTGGATTATCAGTGCTGCTATTAAACGTTCCAGATACTGTCCACTTCGAATTGGTTAACTGAGTAAAAGGAATAACAAGAAACAACGTGTGAAGAAAGACTACTGTTATTAGCTTTGCCTAGTAAGTACAACCTTTCTCTTTATACATTTTGTAATTGGTGTTCCATAGTTAAGATTTTTGGATTTTTGATCTTTTGTAATTTCTAATTTTTTTGATTTACTGAGAAGACTTAAATTCAGATTTTTGTTCTTTTGCAATTCCAAAACGGTTTGCTGAAAAGACTGAAATCAAAAAAAATAAAGAGTAACAAAGAATTTACAAACCCACAACAACTTTTAATTTTTAAGAAAAAGCAACGCATAAGACTGAATAATTAATTATAATTTTAATTTTAAAACAAAAATAAAACTTTTTAATTTTGGATTTTTCAAATTTTCAAAATAATTTCTTTTAACAATTCAAAGTAATATATATGTCAGATTCTGAAGAAGAAATCGAGAATCTCTTGACTCAATTTAATTTAACTCATCTTTACAATCCTAATTCAAGAAGTAACAACCAAAATCAAAGATCAACCGTAACAACACGGAAAGAAATTTTGGATACTATTAATCCAGTAGGGTAGTATTACAATCAAATTTTTGATCAATATAGCGTCAATCTAAATTTAGATTAATATCAATAAATGATTCGATTGATTTACTTGTAAAGCTAAAATCTGCTAAAATATATCAAACCATGATAAGTAGCAGCAAATGAGTTCCAATAAATAATAACCAAAATTTGATTATTATTAGCAAAAATAAAATTAAATTTGCCTATGATATTCCTGAATATAATTTATATATTCTTGAATTTAGCTAAGTGTTGAATAGTATCAAGCAATTTTTGGATCAGTTCAAGTTGATTGTAGATAATATTTGCTAAATATATGATTGATTTTAGAAAAAGATATGACGAAAGATAGCAAATTGACAAATAATTAGGATAAAATTTATCAAATAATATGATTACTTCTTGCAATATTTTGATGTTATATATCTAATAATTGAGTGCAACTTATCAAATCTTTTGATTATGTGCATTCAATATTTGATTGCTGGCCAATTGATTTTCCTAATTAGCGGTGGTGGTGGGAAAATAGTAACAATAAAATGAGGTTTCGGTTTAATTTTTATTTATTCTGCATTCGTTTACAATATTGAATACTAAATTATTATTATCTCCTACTAATTTAACCTAAATAACCTTCTCAAAAGGAATACAATTTATACCTTATAGTTTATAGATAATAAGAAAATAATAACAGCCGTATGCAACATCCTCTTTTAACTTTAAAAGCGACTTTGAAAGTCAATTGCTTAAGAATTTTTTTTTAAAAAAGTGACAGAATAGGCTAAAAGTGCTTTTAAAATTAAAAGATGATGTTGCATACGGCTATAAGTCTTTAGTGTAAAAGCAAATTGATCAGCTTACAGGAACCAAATTAAAAATATAAATTTCCTTGTATATAAATAAAAAACACAATTCCAAAACTCCGTAACACCCTATGTCATTAGTAGGTTTTATTACAAAAAAACAGATGAAATGTTCGTTTCTACTGGAAATTTCAATTTCTCTCCCATAAAGAAACAAATATCACAAATATCACTCACAAAACTCAATAATTTATTATTGCCAGTTAGCACTGCGTGGCACTACGAGTATGGGTGCGAGAGTACGAAAAAATACACAAAGACAACTTAGACAAGTTTTTCCTGTGGACCGGGTGCGGGGTGCACTCCACATAAACAGGAGAGACGTTCTTCCTCCAACAAAACACCACACACTAAAATATTTTCAAATGAAACATAACTCAAGTAGCCAAAACCGTTAGAAAAACTTATAGGTATTTGCTTGATTTACTCCTTATATTATAGATTAAGCCAAATAATGGCTCGATTCTAGAAGAGTTTTATCAATTTGGTCAAATATTTGATAATCGTAGCAAAAATTGGATAGAAATAGTTATAGATTTGATTGTTTTCAGTTCACTGTTTTTTTCGGTTTTCTAAATGTCAGTAAATTCTATGAATAACTTGATCCAGACAGAAATACATTAATTTAAAATATCATAGATATTAAGCATTTATTTTATTGATCCCATCAAAACCATATAGATCAAAAGTAAATTAATGCCCATATTATTCTGTGTTGAAACCTAAAATATTTTAAATCAACGTACCTAGTAATTCATTCCTAATTGATTTGATTTGGAAATGTATAGATCTGTGAAATATGTAAAAAATTTCACTATGATGCTTGTTGAGATAACTTTGATGGAACCTATTCTACCAGACACTAGGAATCTCAATTTCTTAAATTGATCTTGTTGATAAATCAGATATTATCCTTTAGTTAAACTATTATCAAATACAGCTAAAATAATATAATCTAAGAGTTAATTTGAGCAAATTTCTTGCGAAAATTAATCATGGGAGGTACATCAATTCGATTTTTAATGTTTGATTGATTTAAGAAAAGCGTTTTCTGTAATCAATCTAAATTTTGATGTCCCAAGAAAAAAATTGATGAGATTTAGCAGTTTAAGCATAAAAACAAGAAAATTGTATCTATTGATATTAATTTCAATTTGATGTTATTAATCGTAAGCGAAATTAGCAGATTAATCTTAAAACGCTAATATTTGTCAGTTTTTTTCTTGTTTTATTCCATTTTAGATTAAACTAATTTATTTGGTATAGATTATGGTATTTCTTATTTCAATAAGTCGATTTGATTCATTTTATCAAAGCATTTCTTTCCGTGAATGAGTGAAAATTTAAAATCAATTGTACAACTAATCAAACCTTTCAGTGGCGAAAGCCAATATTTAGAATATTTCATAAGAAACATCAATGAATTTTATCAAACCTATTATGCTGGTGAAAATGCTCAAAAAGAGTATGTGGTTACCGCCATAAAATCAAAATTAATAAATGACGCAGGAAATTTTCTTATGGCACGTTCTGATTTACAAACATGGACTGATATAAGAGAAGCGTTAAGAATTAAGTATGGTGATCAATATTCTAGACAGAATTTGGTACAAGAGCTTATGTACACCACTATAACTAATAAAGAAACTATTATTGAGTATTTGGATAAACTAAAAGGTTTAGTTCAAAGAATTACATCTAAAATCATGTGCGACCCAAATTTAACGGTAGTTGCAAATGTTTTAATTGAACAAAACGAAATTATTGCTATTCAAAATCTAGTCACTAATTCGCCAACCGAATTAAGAACAATTTTAATGGTTCAAAATCCACAAACGTTGGATGCAGCTAACAAATTTGTGTTAAATTATCAACTAGCTGAAAACCACATGAAATTTAGTAGAGGGCTTACTCATTCTACTAATCAAAATCAAAATTTCTCAAATTTCAAAAATAAAAATACGCAATTTCGTTCACAACAATCACAACAAACCTATACTCAACAAAAACCTCAATATACACAAAAAACATCGTATGTACCACAGAAACCACAGTTTCCATCCCAACCTATTAATATACAACCTAAAAAGGACTATGTACCAACAAAATTTCCTACTAGTTCAGGAACTTTTGGCAAAAACTACAATAATGCCTTTCTAAAAAACACTAATCAACAATTTTCGAAACCGACACCTATGTCCGGTGTTTCAGTGCAACCAAGAGCACAAAATCAACATCAATACCCTTCTAAATACAATCGAAGAAATTAATAATATCTTTGAAATCGAATTGCCTGAACCTGATGAAAATTTCGAAAATGATGAATGTTCTGAAAATCAAAACTATTATGAAGAGACAAATTTTGAAGAAAATCAAGTCGCAACTGAAGACGAAAATTTTCAGTTACAAGCCTTGGATGCAAAGAGTCAGCATTAACTTTAAATGCTT